GTAACAGTTGGTCTTCACTATAAGTAATGGGTTTTCTTTAGGCGGAGACAAGAATTTACATTTTTTTGCTATGTTCCATCTGAATTTACTCTGACACAGACAAATCTATATTGATTTTGACACTTCTACATCCAACTCACAGATGTAACCTTGCTTTGATAACAACAATTATTCATATAAACCTTTTAGAAGTGAAGTTATAGTCATTTGTTCTGGGAATGTCATTTTTGAGCCTGAAACCTGAAAAACAGGCTCGGGGTTTAACAGGTTAAAAGAGGACTTTTTTTATTCCAGCCCATTTTCAGGTTCATATTTGTATTTTGTGTCTCTACTGTGACATGTCTCCATGCTTTATTGTTCAAAAAGGTCTAGTTTTCTCATGCTGCCTGTGCTGCCTCTTTTCACCCTCTGTCTGAAACCAGAGCCCAGTCTGCTCTGATTGGTTAGCTGGCTCTGTTGTGAGTGGTCAACCGCTTAGAGATGTCCCGCCCCTTAGCCTATCACATACAAGGTGTTGGAGCACTAGCACTATTACTTAATGCTCTAAATGTTGTTCATTTTTGTAAAACACTATGAATTGCCTTGTGTTGAAAGGAGCTGTATAAATAAACTCTCCTTGCCTAGCCAATAGAGCAAGCGTTACATAGTGATGTCATTATGATACTGAACTATACAAAGACATCCAATTGAGGCGTTTCAGGCAGGGGTGTGGGATAGAAACTCCAGCTGGAGGGAATTTGGTGGTTTTAAACTTTGCTGACCATTTACATGCACTAAAACCTATAACACACAACAAGAAAGGAGAAACACCAAAAAGCCTAATAGGGCCTCTTTAAACGTGTGACCACCTGGTGACCACCTGGTGACCACCCAATGGACTGTAGATGGAAATTCCTTCCAAGCTAAATGCTACATTACAATAAATGGTAACATTTAAGTTTAATATGTTACATGGTCTCTTACAAATAAAATAAAAGAGAGGTGTGTTACTTATTACCAAATAAGATAGATAACAGTCAGTAAAACAATGGCATGGTAATACAGTGTTTCTAATTGTGTGTGTGTGTGTGTGTGTGTGTCAGCTTCTCACCTCCTCTGTATGGTCAGTGCTCCGCCTCAACTCTTATTTGAACTAGAATGGAAATCCTCCTCCTCAGTCTGGAGGTCCAGAAACGTACACAAGTTAAACAACCGCTGAAATGAAATGTGTCTCGTAAATATTTAAAACAAAAAGGGAAAATGTATCTGGAATTCTTACGAGCATGAGATGCACATTGCTGATTGCTGATGAGTCATTGATGTATCATCAGCTTCACCTTCTGTGGCTTTTTATAATTTGCATGCCTCTCAAACGCACATATTAGCACCGCACGTGGCATTTCCCCTGCTAAAGTCAGACACTGAATTTAAAAAGAATGTCTTACAAACACGTGAAAGTATTTCAAATGTACTTCTTAAAAGAAACAAGCGCAGATGTGTTTTATTTTACTACACAATAAATCAGTTAACCTACAGACAAACATGTATTAACTTAATGTATTTAGTTTAGTCCTAATATGTATGTAATTGCTGCAGGGGCCTGGCAGCTTTTTTAGGGATATGTAGACAACAAGTTTATAGAAAGTGACCTCTTGTCCATTTATTTATTTACCATTTAATATATCGATAAATTCATCAAGTTATATTTGTTTCAAATATATTGTTTTTATTGTTCCCCTTTTAGAGAGATTTAAAAAAGATTGAAGATACTGAAGATTTATTGCATAATGAACATGCAATGGGCTTCAACTTTAATGACTCAATATTTATTTTCCCCTTCTTGTTTTCACATATTAGTAGTTGTTTTTTCCTTGACATAAAGACTTCCCTTACTGGCAAGTGTGTCATAGTGTTAAAAGCAGCCTTATGGAAAACACTATGACACTTATTTGAGAAAAAAAACGACATTCATCAAATTCCAATGTAGCTGTGTTTGGTTATTATTGAAAAACCCAAGAAGCTGCAATATAAAGAACACAATGTTGAATGAGTGTTAATCCTTCCAATAATACGTGACCTGTTTTTACACCTTTCTTATTATGAGACTGAATCGAGCACTATCCCCTTCCTGCTTCAACTACTGAGACCATATTTAACACCCGCAGTTCATCTTCCAACTCCTTTGCACGCACAACATGAAAAATGTAAAAAAAGAAAGTAGGACCTAATTGTTTGAATAGGTAGATAGATAGTCTTTTTTACCTATGGGAATGTAACCCATGTACCTTAAAAACGTATAAACCCCCAAAGTTCCTTCATCATGTTACTTAATTTGGCATTTATTGATTTTTGATGTGCTTTAATGTAAATTGAGTTGTGCATCCAGGGCAACATTGGACTCTTGCTCTGGTCTCTCCTACTCCTGAAGGTACCAGCTAGTTGTTAACTGTGTCTTTCTGGTGTGTGGTGATGAGCAGGTATTGTAGGCTACAGGTTTTTTTTTTTTTTACTGAAATCTGTTCTTTGCTGCATCTCAAAATGACACAAGAGTTGAGAAAGTGAACCAAAGGTAGCAAAAAAACAAAACAAAGTGATGCCATAAAGCTCTGTAGAGCCGAGCGAAACTGCGTTGTGTGATAATAATCAATTTTTAACAAACAATCATAATGTTCTTACACTCAAACATATTAATTTAAACCATTGCTCAAAACATTAACATAGTACAGCTTTAAGTTGAGCATTTTCTGATTAGTTTTTTGTAAGAGAGCTTAATATGAATGGTGGACCAAGGTAAAAGTGTGCCACTCATTTGAGACACAGTGTGAATACAGCTCAGTCAGTTCAACCCAGTTGGTGGATGTTGCTGCTACTCTAACAAACCAACAGGTGGAGCTAGAGTCTCGTCGGTATCCTGCAGTGACGCTGGTTGTGTGTCATCACACAGACACACTACAGGAACATGGGCAGTCATTAAGTGTCTGTGAGTGTCTCCACTTCTATACTTAGGCTTCCAGAGACAATTTAAACATGCAGGCAGATGCTAAATGTAGCTGCTGAAGCCTCTGAGGTCTGAAGCAGTCCCTCATGGTGGACTGTGCAGATGGTCTGGTCAGATGGTCCGGCACATCAAATGGGGATGAATCATGATCAAATGAAACATCAGTTTACAGTTAAGGTTTGTTAGTAATACATATTTTACTTAATGAAGTAAAAAAACTAAGCCAAATACTCTGTTTTCACTGCATAGCCCACTGTGACACTCTTACAATGAGCTGCAACTACACAGTACATTTCTCTGAGTAAAATTGACTCAAATGTTACTCTAAAAATATTACATTTGGTCCCAACCTATATAGAGTAAAATGTACTCTTTGTTCAGAGTTGTATTTTTAGAGTTCATTTTACTCTATTATGTGCTTAGATTTGACTCTGCTTAATGGTTATTTACTCTATGTAGCGTATATTAAAAACAACTCTACTGCCATTTTACTCATAATAGAAGGTAATTTTACTCCCAATCGAACGTCATTTCACTCCAACTAGAAGGTAATTTTACTCCAAATAGAAGGTAATTTTACTCCAACTAGAAGGTAATTTTACTCCAAATAGAAGGTCATTTTACTCCAAATAGAAGGTAATTTTACTCCCAATAGAAGGTAATTTTACTCCCAATAGAAGGTAATTTTACTCCCAATAGAAGGTAATTTTACTCAGAATAGAATAAATGAACCATAATGATCTTTATAATAAAAAAGGTCAATAAACCAAAGTGCTTAAGTAACACGAGTGGGCGTGTATGAAGCTGACCATTGAGCGGCCCGACCAAGCAAGCAGGCAGAGAGTTAAAATACAACCCGGTGTGGGCATTTATTCATCGCTGTGGTTCATGATACACAGCCTCAATATGACTGTCTCACATGAACAGTTACCAGCAACAAGGACCTCACACACACTAACAGGAAAACAGAACCTACATACACACAGGACTAATCAAACCAACAAGACACAGGTGAGGAGGGAGGAGAAACACAGGGCACCAGGTGAACACAATCACCAGCAATAGACAAGACGGGAGGGGGAACACTTTTCAAACTACAACAGGAAACAGAGACAGACAAACTAAAACATAGACAGATCGTGACAAATAGATGCATAAATGACATAGATTCACATGCTTCCTGTGCAATGTTTTAGCGTGGAACAAAGTAATATACTTCGCCAAAAATTAAGCTATATAATATAAGACACCGAGATCTACGCCCCCAGAGATCACCTCCGTTACAGCGTGGTCATGGTTTGACTCCAATAGAATTGACTCTGCATTTTTGATCGCACTCTAGAAGCTATGAGTAATAAATACACTCCAAAATGATTAAATATCACTATTTCAGAGCAAAATAGTAATTACTCTGGAAAAAATACTCACCAATATTTCCTGTGTATACAGCTTAAATATAGTGGCCAAACAATCTCTAATTATCTACTTCTTTTTGTATCACTTGTAGCCTTATCACACTATTTAGCAGCGGAGGGAATTAGAATTGTTATACAATTTTTTTTCTTTGAAATGTGGACTCACAATTGAACTTAACCAATACAAATATAGAAAAATATAAATATAAAAATATAAAACATATTACTATGACTAACACGGTTGACTTTTCATCAATGTTGGCATGAAAGTTATTAGTTAGAATTAAACGATTTTTAATAATCTAGTCTACTGCTTCTCGCGCTGTGAAAATGAATTTGGTTCTTTGCACTCTGTGAATAACTGAGTCACAATCCAGTTGTTTTCACTGACAAAGATCACATCATAAAATACATATTTGCATGCTGCATAATTTCTTTGGGCCCACTTGAGCAAATTAGCCTTTTACCGATTCTTATTCATAGACAAGAGAGATATTTGAAGCATGACGGACATTTTTTAAATATTAGGCTTATGTTATTATAGGGAATTCAATGTAACAACTCTTGGGTACAGAAATAAGTCATACGTGTAAGACACCACAATATTATCAGGTTTGTTGTGATAAAGAATATTTTTTTATTTTGTATGTACAGTATTTACAGGACATTCAATAAAGCCACGTTTTAGTGCAGAACAACCTTTAAGAGATATACTATATCTACTATGATGTAAAACCTCTCAGAATCACCAAAAAGAGAAATAATTTAATTAAAGACAAACCTTAAAAGATCAGTCAAATGGATCCCAAAGCATGGAAACAATTTAAAAGGTAAACATTTGTAAATAACAAGTTTGTTTTCTAGTGGAACACAGATTTTAAATAAGGGTTCTGATTTTAACGATAAAGAAAAATGCATATTACCGTCACCATTGAGTAATTCAGGAAATGCAATGAGTCAGATTTGAAATCTGGGGAAAATGAGGGCGATATTTTGAAAAGACCACTGAGCATTTCTGAAGTCTTTGATTGTGACAAATTCCTCTGAAAATACTCCCTCAAATCTCTTTGTTGTGAATGACCTTCTACCTTAGGACTGTCACTGTAGTTTGGAAGTTATGGCAAGTTTAAAAAAATGTTTTAAGTAGAAAGTAGGTTTACTGTGATACAATTTTCCATTGCCTTCTGAGATCTGGCATTTTGTCATCCAAAATAATCACCCATTTATTACAAACTTCAAATCCTTGGATTAAAAGCTACACTTTTGCCGGCAACATGATGTCAAAGCATGAGAAACTAAACTATTTGTAAGAGGAATGGCATTGGATGTGCTTTGTGTTTGTTTCCTTTTCTTTAGTTTAAACAGCCAGACGGGAGTTTCCATTTTTAAAAACAAACAGTTTGTGGCAAAATCAAACTAAGGGGAACAGAAACACTTAGATCAGCTTTATAAATTAAATCAAATCCAGTGAAACAGAGGGCTTCTGTTTAGCAAACACACTATAATGTCTACTTTAGCATTTAGCCCTGTGTTAGAGGGAAGAAGGTACGGAGACTCGGACCCACAACAAAGCAGAGTCTTCATTCACAAAACCAGTATCACTTTAACATCAACACTTCTGAGGAGGCAAAGTCTCTCCCTGGTTTCTCTGAGCCATTTTGCAGTTTTAGTTTCCTCCTCCTCTTGGTTGTCTCAGTCTCTCTCTTTCTGTCTCTGAGTGCTTGTCTCATATGATTTCCAGAACATCGCAGGGCACGAAGCCTCTCTTCTTTCCACTCGCCACTCTGATGAAGCCGCTGTGTTCGCCCTCACTGCTCACACAGATCTGAGGCAAATAATGAAAATGTACTTTAATAGAAATTGAAAATAACCAGTGCAGTCAAACATACAATAAAACATTTGATCAATGTTAGTAACAGATGGAAGGACACAATATCTGATACTGATGTGAGGTCGATATATATACTTTAAAGTAGCCCTGTTGTCTTTTTTGGCTCCTAGGCCGTTTCTCATGTTTTAGGTTAGGCATTAGGGGGTGTAACGGTATCCGTATTCGTCCCGTACCGTCACGGTTCGGCGCATGCAGTCACACCGCGAATACGCCTTTTTTTACGAGTGGGAAAAAAGTCTGTCACTCAGGGCAGTATATATATATATATACTATATATACTATATATAATCCAGGGGGCGGTATTGCGCCTAAAAGCCAGCCGGCCGTAAATAACAAATGAAGAACAAGAACAAAACACAAAAAAACGAACACAATACATGAAGAAGAACAGTTAGTAGCTATGGCGAGTTCACACAACACACAGGAGCTAGAAGACCCACCTGCTTCTTTTAAATCAGGTGTGTGTGGGAACATTTCGGGTTCCCTGTGGACTACAACAATGATGGGGTGCGAGCGGTGGATCGGACGAGGACGGTGTGTCGGCGTTGTTCGACAGCAGTGCGGTATGCTAGTGGTAACACGTCAAACATGCTCAATCACATCCGAGTCAGTCTCAGTCCCCAGCGAGAGGGTTTTCTCGACGGCAGGTGACATAGTTACATTACATTACATTACATTGCATTTAGCTGACGCTTTTATCCAAAGCGACTTACAATAAGTACATTCGACCAGGAAGACACAACCTTGAAGAAAACAGAATCATATAAGTACATCAGGTTTCATAGAGCTAAACATTTCAAGTGCTACTCAACTGGCTTTAGGTAAGCCAGTCCTTTATTAGTATAAAAGTGCTTCGTTAATAGTTCTAACGCTCGAAGTGGAGTCGAAAGAGATGAGTTTTCAGTTTGCGCCGGAAGATGTGCAAGCTATCTGCCGTCCTGATGTCAATGGGGAGCTCATTCCACCATCTTGGAGCCAGGATAGCAAACCCACGTGTTTTCGCCGATGGGAACTTGGGTCCCCCTCGCAGCGAGGGCGCAACGAGTCGTTTGGCTGATGCAGAGCGTAGTGCACGCGCTGGGGTGTGCGGTTTAACCATGTCCTGGATGTAGGAAGGGCCAGATCCATTCGCAGCATGGCAAGCAAGTACCAGTGTCTTGAAGTGGATTCTAGCAGTTACCGGAAGCCAGTGAAGGGAGCGGAGGAGCGGAGTGGTGTGGGAGAATTTAGGAAGGTTGAAGACCAGACGAGCCGCTGCATTCTGGATGAGCTGCAGAGGTCGGATGGCACATGCAGGTAGACCAGCCAGGAGGGAGTTGCAGTAGTCTAGGCGTGAGATGACGAGAGCCTGGACCAGAACCTGAGTCGCTTTCTGAGTCAGCTGGGGACGTATCTTCCTGATGTTGTAAAGCCTGTATCTGCAGCAACGGGTTGTAGCAGCGATGTTTGCAGTGAAGGACAGGTTGTTATCTAGGGTCACACCCAGATTCCTTGCAGTCTGAGTCGGGGAAACAACTGAGGTGCCGATGTTGATTGTTAGGTCAAGAGTGGGACAATCTTTTCCCGGGAGGAAGAGCAGCTCAGTCTTGTCAAGGTTGAGCTTGAGGTGGTGAGCAGACATCCACTGAGAGATGTCAGCTAGACAAGCAGAGATGCGTGCGACGACCTGGGTCTCGGAGCGGGGAAAGGACAGAATTAATTGGGTGTCGTCAGCGTAGCAGTGGTAAGAAAAACCATGCGGGCTAGTTACCGCCAACAGATCTGCCCTCACTACTGACAACGTAGACAAACTCATCTTTTTGAAGAACAACTTGAAAATAGAGTAAAGCTTGAGTACCTTTTATGTAAGGGATAATGTGCAGCAACGCGGTCATTATGGGGAAAAGAACACCGACAGGCTGATCAGGAGCCCGACGCGAAGCGGAGGGATCTAGATCGGCATGAAGGTGTTCTTTTCCCCATAATGACCAAGTCGCTGCACATTATCCCGCTTATTACATGGCCACATTCTCAACAAAGTAATATTATGAATCCCAATATTAATTGAAATGCTTTTATGGATTTAGAAAATTATTTTATTGATTTAAAAAATAGTTGTATTGATTTAAATTGACATGCATCCGCTAAGAAAAATAGTCCGTTGTTACCGTTTGAACTAACGTAGCAACGGCAGGAAGTGCTTCGATAGCGTTTTTGATTACAGATTTGAAAACATCGCTGCTTGCTTTAAAAGTAGCACAATTCATGATGTCAAACCTTGGAAAGTATCTAGATATCCCTGCCCTAATGCCAAAGGAACTGCACACTGAATATGTGTCGCCGTTTGATGTCTATGTCTGGACCGCTGCGTAAAAAGGAGGGTTTCTGCCCGTTACTTCTCCGCTGTTTTTCTTGTCCCTCTTGTCTTTTTCTTTTCTTCACTGGGGACTCATCAGCCACTAACCATTACTCCAAATTACTGTGCTCTCCAAATATATTAAAATTAATGTTAAAATCCTCCATGTTGCTATCACACAACAGCGGAAAACTAAAGACAATCAGACAGTTTGCTTGCTTTTCAAACTGTTACATTTGAAAAACAGTTAGAGCGTCTCTTGTCAGTTTGAAAAGCCAACGGTAGGAACTGCTTGCGTTTTTGAGGAGCTTTTTGATTACAGATTTGAAAACATCGCTGCTTGCTTTAAAAGTAGCACAATTCATGATGTCAAACCTTGGAAAGTATCTAGATATCCCTGCCCTAATGCCAAAGTAACTGGCAACTGAATATGTGTCGCCGTTTGATGTCTATGTCTGGACCGCTGCGTAAAAAGGAGGGTTTCTGCCCCGTTACTTCTGCGCTGTTTTTCATGTCCCAGTTCGAAAAGCAAACTGCATGCAGTTTGCTTTTCGGCCCCAACGGTATACAGATAAATCGACCGGACTTCTTTCTGAAGATGTGAGCGTCCTTAACAACGGTCAATAAGTCCTTGACAGCGGTCTGTCTGTTCGGTATTAACAACGTGTCACGTGTTCTGAATTGACCAATCAGAATCGAGTATTCAACTAAGCCATGTAATAATTAGGCATAATGGCCTCACACACTCACAAGTTAATTACACATGTTAGACATTGCTCCTAAAGGTACAGATTTTATTTAGTTTTTTATTTATCATTGTATTCATTTTATATTTAGACATCAGGAGATGTTATACAGAACTGTATTGCCTTTTATTGATTGTGATTGAAACACTTTATTATTTATTGAAATATTTTCAAGACATTCTTTTTAGTTGTACAGCTTATTTAACCTTTTTGTTTGACATCATAAATAATATGGCCATGATCTGAGTGTGTGTGTTACTGTTTGTGGTTTGTTGTTAGCTGTGTAATACAGTTAATGATTCCAAATATTAGAGTTCCTTATTTTCATACCAAAACTTGCACTACTGTTAAAAATAAATAACAGCAAAAAAGAATTATGCATTTGGGACTTTTTTTGCTTTTCCTTGTTGTACCGAACCCGTACCAAACCCGTACCGAACCGTGACCCCCAAACCGAGGTATGAACCGAACTGTGACTTCTGTGAACCGTTACACCTCTATTAGGCATGCATCTACTTTGATAACCTGTCAGTTTTCATGTTGAACTGTTCTACAACTACATGCTTTATGGTATTTTGCAAATCTAATAGTCAATAAAGATTTGTATGTATGAACCATAAAGCGCCCACATGTCGTCTAGTCTAAACATAATCAACAAAACTTCAATTTTAATTTTATCTTTGTCTCTCTCATCTCTGTTTTTATGGTCCAGCTCAAAGGGACAATTTACAAACGCAACCTATTTTTAAAGATGATGATGATGATGATGATGTAGTTGTGCTTGTTTATAATATTGCTATGATTATTAGATTCCCTGAATGACACTCTTGATAGATTAGAACACATTGTATCTGCATACTGGCTTTTAGTACGCTCCAAAACCTTCCCCTGGGTTTTGTGTCAACGGAAAAGACAGGCAGCGGGTCACAGACTCTACTCGTTTTATCAGCGGTTTCATCTCCACTGGGGGTTCTTTACTTAAAATCCCAACATGTCCTGGAAAGCATTGTGGGAAAAAAGGGGCATGACCTAAGTAGAGCCATTATACCAAAATGGTAATCTAATGGTTACTCCGGCGAAGGATCCTTTCAGCATACTCCAGTCAATCTTTTCAGGTTATAGGTGAATGCGAGGGAAGAGTAAGGGGCAACGTGGGGGCTGCAGGAGGGTAATAAGATGGCTAAAGAGCTGCTGGATGATGTGAATCTGATGAGCTCTAATGACAAGAGTGTGATCATGAATTACACCCAGGTAGAATGTGGAAGTTTAAATATTCACTCTGAAGGTCATTGCTCCCCTAACCCATAATGACAAGGACGTTCATGTGATCAAGACTGCTGATGTTTCGTTAATTAATAATGTGTTTTGTGTTGTTGTGGCTCTAAAGGCAGGCAATTGACTTTAACAACAATCCCACTGTTAGTTTGTAAATGGGTTTTTCCCCCAAAAAAATACACATAAACTGAGCTATCTAGCCTGTTATACGTTTGATTGATTGATTGATCTGGCAGTTTTAAGAATGTACCTCTACATAATAAAACATTTGTGTTTGGCTTATAATCAATGCTATTCATTTATTATCTTATTCCTTTTGCAAGATGTTTATTTATAATTATCATATTTTTACTATCATACTTGCATTTTGTTGTATTTTGCTGTCGTGAAGCACTATCTACTACTATGTCAAAACCCAGAACAGGAAAATAGAAGAAATATAACACGGAGAGTTGCAGATGCAGAAGATAAAGCAGGCCATAATTACAGGGCAGGATAATGAAGGATATAAATAAACACTATTTTAGAAAGGACATCCTACAGCCTGTATTTATGTTAAGACTTTACACTTGACATGTCGATAATCAGCCTATCATCAGCCTATACTCATCATCATCATAAGGTTTATACAGTAGGTGTGTACAGTACCTGTCCCTCCTTTAAGGTGATCTGTCCTTGTTCCTTACAGCCGATGAATGTCCTGTTACACCTGAACACTTGGTCCTCAATCCCAGCCTGATGAACATAGGCCGCCGGGAAGTAACCGATCCTGTCCTCAATAACCCCCTGAAGAAATATATGGAAAATAAACCACTGGTTAGATAAAATCCTTAAAACACAGTACAGTACATTACTTTCTACCTATACACCTGGTTCATAGATATAAAGAGGATACGCTACGCTCACCTTCAGTACCTAAACATTGTACTGTGCATGTGTAACAACAGTATCCATATCAAACTGACCAGATGTCTCTGTTAATCTACAGCCGGTAGAAAACAGCAGCAGAGTTAAAATGCGTGATGAGTTTCTTCATGGTCTGGTGGTAGCAGGCTGCCTCTGGACAGTCACGTTTTCACCCTTTTGTCTACCCAAAGTATCTGTCGTGCAGTTGTGTCAGCCTGTTGCCTCGCTCATATAATTTAGAGCTCCACTTCTTATTTGGGCATTTTGGTGCTTTGTGGAAAATCCACATTTCATGTAAACCGTTCAAAACTGCTTCCGTTATCTTGTAACTTTTAATCTTTGAAGGTTAATTATAATATAAACAGAAAATGTTTAAGATGACTTGTCACTATTCATAATGGTGTTATGAGTTGGTTTTGAACCTACCTTCCACCAGTCATCATTCGAGTCGTCAGCCACTAAGATTCTGTCTCCTGCGCTGCAATATAGAGCACAAAAGACAAAGATACTGAAAAAGGGAACGTTTTCCTCCTCTTATCTTCATGGTTTGATGAATCTATGTATAGTGACAGAAATCCCCTTTACAAAGTAAGTAATAATAACCACATCAGTAGTCATTTAGCTAACAGTATAAAAGTTCATTGGCTAGAAACGAGAATCCTGTTCTATGTTATTTCTATGAGAAATTGTTGACTCTTTGTATAATAAGTTTTGTGATTGTTTAGAAGTGAATCTTCCACTGTTGTCATGGCACACTTCATATCTGCTGTACAGTGCAACAGGGTGAATCAGATAGCACCTACAAGTTATTGTATCTGTCAACAATAAGAGAAGCTGCACCTCTTCACTTGATCTCTCTGACAGGCCCTCTTGTATAGCCAAGCAGATGAAGGTGTTTGTGGGTTTTTTCCGGATGCACCTTAGATCCTGTTTGCTTTAAGTAATTGTTCTTTGTCCAGTAAACACATTAATCATTTTACCGCATGTGCCATAATTACAAACATCTGTTCCAAGCCGTTGGCTAAATTTGATCAATAAAAATCAAAAGGGCCAGCGCAGTTGAGCCAAATGTTGGCTTACGTAATTTCCCCATTTTCTTCTCCTTGTGGTTCGGTTACAATACTGGCTGTGCTCTGTAATGCTCGCCATGAATCAGAAAAACACAGTTTATTGCAGGTGAGAAACAGCATAGCACCCGGTGTTCTATATCGTATAAGGCTTCGCCCTCTAAGGCTATCGCTATTGGGTAATCCCCACTGCACGTGTGCAGCACTGACAGACTTATTCCACGCCCACCTATGACGTGGGCCCCACCTCCAGGCTCACTTCCGTATAAATAGGAAGTAGGCCCTACAATCCACTCCTACTTTTCTTCAGCACTCCGTTGCAGAAGCATTGACAGGCAAAACAAGTTCTTTTAAGAGCTACTTACTGAAAAGCAAACATTCCTCCTAAAAAGCTTTGTTTTTCTGGTAAGATGGAGACTGGGCAGGAAAGTCAAGGTTGCGTCAGGGATTGCCTCGTATGCGGGTCGGGCTACATTATGAGCTTTGACAGGCACTCACAGTGTGAGTCCTGCCTGGGAATAGAGCATGCGAACGCTGCTCTCACTCCCGGGGTATCATGCTCGCATTGTGCCCGTCTCCCGCAGGCCCTCAGACAGCAGAGAGTGGACGCTCTCGCTGCTGCAGCTGCCGAGGACGATTGGCCCGTCCAGGAGGAGTACTCCGGGGACAAAGCCCTTGACTTCCTGGATCCAAATGGCGGGCACGAGTCGGACGACTACGTCCCCTCCATTCAGGGATCACCGGGTGATTCCCCCCATTATCTCTCCCCTCCACACGGAGGGAGACAGGTAGGGGACCCAGTGTAGGTCCGATGTATGATCCCGTGAGCCCTATCTCTGCCACCACGGCGTTGCCGTCGATTGGCGGGATTCTCCTGGAACTTCCGGAGATTATATCTAAAGCGGCCGCCTGGAGAAATCTCCCCGTTCCCCTAGCTCAGGAGAGCTCGCCTCCGGATGATATGTCCGGGGTGTTCTCCCGGGTACACAGGGTCAGGAGTGACCCGGTCTGGCCACGCTTCCCGGCCATAAGGAAGTACCAGGAGGGGGCGGCGGCAGACCCTGGAGCAATGAGGGCTCTGATAGGGACATACGTGCCCCTCACGAGAGTGGTGGGATTCACGGATGTAGGTTTCCCGACCGTGCCTCCTCTAGAGCCGAACCTCACGGCGTTCTTTGGGGCTAGGCAGGCCAGCACGGTTACCGGACGGCAACCCATGCTGGCTGCCACCAAAGATCGGTTTGTCGCCCGACAGACGGACCGAATGCACCAGTGTGCGTTTTTGGCATCAGCGGCGGCGAACAATATAGCGTTGCTGTCAAACTCCATGGTGGAAATGTCCGAGCAGTCAAAAACCATGTCCTCAGTGGAGGCTGAGGAGATAGGTAAGGCGGCCAGTACTGCACTTACACTGTGCGCAGCAGTCGCAGTCTCGCAGGCGCGGATTGCGTGGGCGACACAGGTCCACCGGTATCTCTGGCTACAGCATGGGAATATACTGGAGGGTGCAGGAAAGGATCTGCTGGAGGCTCCAATCAGTCCGGACGGACTATTTGGACCACAGTTCCACACCATGGTGGAGACTATGAAGTCTGCGGCAGAGCAGGCAGACGACATAAGGCGTCACGCTAGCTGGCTTCAGGACAAACGTCCTCAGCAACAGCAGCGGCAGCAACGACAGCGCCCGCAGCCCCCGCAACAGTCTCAACGGGGGCAGCGGCGAGAGCAGCAAAGGGCGTCAGAATCGCCCTTCGGCAGCTGCAAGGGCTCCGTCCCAGGTCTCCGCTCCTCCGCCGCAGAGACAGGATCTGCAGGCGACGAGTCGGAGGAGAAGGAAGAAACCCCGCTCCTGGTCTGCTCCTCCGAGAGAACCTCTGAGGAAGCAGAACCGAAGATGACTCTTTGGGGGGGGTTATGTGGGAAGAGAGAATTGTTAATAAAAATGATTCAAATCTCAACAGTGTGTCTGTAGCAACTGTGTCTCACATGTCCCTCACACTAGTCAGGCCGGCTGCCATTAATCTATTGATTAAAAGGCAGCAGGACTTGTTGCATAATCCATCTGTTTTTAACCTGTCGGTTAATAGACAGAGGGACTCGCCGTTTGAGCCAGCTGTTTCTAATCTGTCGGTTAGCAAACAGCTAGGCTCGCTGTATAAGCCTGCGGTATTTAACCAGTCGGTTATAAGACAGCAGGGCTTGACATTTAAATCGGCCGCTTCTATCCTTTCGGGTAACAAGCAGCGCGATGTTTCCTCTGTCTCAGTTGTGCCTACACACAGTCGTATTAAGCCTAGCGCGGCTATTACGCACAAGGTGAAAAGCACTGCCCACACTTCCGCGAGTTGGAGCGTAAACCCGGCTCAGGGTCCTGTTTATGAGCTTTCTCCTAAACAGAGACAGGATGAGAGTCGGTGTGTGATGCAGCGTGTGGAGACCCCTGCACAGCCCTTTAGGGCGGGCCCCCCCTTGGGTTGCTTCACAAGCAACGGCGGCAAGGGCTCTGGCATGGCTTGTCACCATGACTACCACAGCACAACAAAAACAGGTACGCCCGCTCTCAGAGCGGTGCTCAGAGTGGAGGCGGCTATGTTTAATGGACGGATGGATGAGCAGGCTGATCAGCAGAGGGTACTCTCTGCAATTTGCCTTACCCCCCCGCAGTTCGAGGGGATTCAGTAAACACTTCTGTCATCCCAAGAACAGTGTCTTGCGCTCCAGTCAGAGCTGCAGAAACTCCTGTTAAAGAGAGCAATTTCCAGGGTTCCTCAAGGGGAAGAAAATCAGGGGTTTTACTCCCGTTATTTTCTTATCCCGAAAAAGACCGGGGGGATGAGACCCATCCTAGATCTGTCAGCATTCAAGTACGGAAAAGACCGTTTCACATGCTGACAATCAAACAGGTAATGGAGTGTGTTCACCAGGGAGATTGGTGCACCTCCATAGACCTGAAGGATGCTTACTTCCACATAACCATCATCCCAAAACACAGGAAATTCCTGCGTTTTTCATTCCAGGGAATAGCGTACCAGTTCAATCGACTGCCGTTCGGATATTCCCTGGCTCCACGCACTTTTTCAAAGTGTGTGGAGACGGCGCTGGAGCCGCTACGCAGAGGAGGGATGAGAGTGTTATTTTATCTGGACGACCTGCTGTTGCTGGCTCGCTCCAGAGAGGAAGCTGCTTTACAGACGGTACAACTCGTATCTCACCTGTCAAGCCTGGGTTTCATAATCAATTGGGAGAAGAGCTGTCCTCTTCCCTCCCAGATCATCATGTATCTGGGAATGGAATTCAACTCAGCCCGCATGAGAGCACGACTCTCACAGCGGAGAGTGGAGAATTTGACAGCTCTCCTCAGGCGCGTCACACCCGGCAGGGTGGTGACAGCCCTTTCCGTGATGCAGCTGTTGGGTATGATGTCAGCTGGTCACGTGGTGATTCCCCTGGGTCTCCTTTACATGAGGAGACTTCAGAGGTGGTTTATTCGCCTGCGCATCGACCCCGTGCCGACCCCGTGCGTCAGAGGAGACGCAGGGTGTGCATTCCTCTATCCGTAGGTTTAGATCTGACCTACTGGAAAAATCCCCACGTCCTGTCAGTGTGGGTTCCCCTCGGCAGAGCGACGTTACACACCTCGGTGTTTACAGACGCATCGCTCTCAGGGTGGGGGGGAACATGCATGTCGCAGGCAGTGGGGGGACAGTGGCCGCCTCACATGTCCCTTTATATAAACACGCTGGAATTACTCGCCATATGGAGAGTAATCCAGCACTTCGCCCCGTTGCTGTGGATTCGAACAGACAACAAGACGGCGGCAGCCTACATAAATCGGCAGGGAGGTGTACGATCAGCGCAGCTGCTGGACACAGCCAGACGGCTGTTGTGCTGGGCGCGCACACACATACTCTCGATCAGAGCAGTATATATTCCCGGCGAGCTGAACAGAGGGGCAGACCTCATGTCCAGAGGAGGTCCTCGACAAGGGGACTGGAGCCTCCACCCCGAGCTGGTCTCCCAAGTGTGGAGCAGGTTCGGGAGAGCGGAGGTAGATCTGTTCGCTGCACGCGGGAACGCGCAATGTGCTCTCTGGTTCTCCCTGAGAAGGCAGGATCACCCCCCTCTGGGGGTGGACGCGTTCGCACACAGACCTTGGCCCAGGGTGTTACTGTACGCTTTCCCACCAGTCCCTCTGATCCCTCGGTTCCTGGACCGAGTGCAGGACGAGCGACTGATAGCGGTCTTAATAGCCCCGGAACGCACGGGAGCGTCCTGGTTTCCCTGCATACAGCGGATGCTGTCAGGGAGCCCGTGGGAAATTCCGTGGCGGGGGGGTGCTCTCTCCCAGGTGGAGGGAGCAATCAGCGGTCACCCCGTGTTAGGCCAACGTTTGTGGGCATGGGCCCTGAAC